TCCTCCGATTGTTCAATACAGCGTTGACAGCAGTTTTCACAGTGGAGAGTATATTGAAAATCTTGGCATTTGGTGTTAGGGTGAGTATAATTTTGTAAAAGTTTGGTTTTTATAATGAATATTTCAGAACTACTTTCGTGATGGCTGGAATCGTTTCGATTTTGTCACCGTCGTGGGTTCTATCACTGATGCTCTTGTCCCTGAATTCGNAGNACATTTTGTTTCCCTCAAAAGTTAGGCTACGTCAAGTGCTTTAATATTTTAAAAAAGAAATTTAACGAAAAAATTGAAATAAATTCGAATTGTTCAATAGAGCGCGTTCGAAATGGCGTTTCGTGTCGACTCTGTGTCGATACTATGTCGTTTCTGGTGTCAGTCGACACCATTTTTATCGACTTCAATAGTACGGCTGGTCGACTCGAATCGTATCGACTTTCGTGTCGTCACGTTACTGTAATGAGTTGTTGACAATTTTTTGATGTCTTTTACAAGTACTAAGACATATTGGCTTAAGGCCAAAAGTCAAAAAACCCTCTTATTACAGATTTTACGGTATCTAGAAAACAAAATTACTCACCTTGAGCTTTGGAATCCTCTTGATAGTTTTCAATGGACGTAACACCCTGAGCACTCTCAACGACTTGATAGTATTCAAATTTTTACCCGCACTTCCTTCGGTACCCCTGCAAAAAGATAACCACTTATTCGAAAATCTCCTGTCAAATGATAACTCTCTCTCGAAAAAGCTATCATTCAGCAGGAGAGACACACAAAAAATTGTCTGTGCACAATATCAATAATGGGTTGAAAAATGTGAGATGATGACAGCGCTATAGAGAAATTGAATCAGATGAGGGACCTGTTGGGGATGTTATGTTTGACTTTTTGGAGAAAAATATTAGTTTTTCAAGGTTGTGTGGGGGGAGGTTAATGGGGACAAGTGATGACTTGTATTGATTTTTTTTATTATGAGGGGGGGGGGGACGTTGTTGAATGGGAGAATAATAAAATCTCGTGGTGAATGTGGTGTGAAGGCCAAAAAATAAATTGAAAAAATTGAAACAGAAAAGCGGAAAATCTTTGGTTTTTACTCTTTTTTTTTCAAACTTACGTGTCTGTACTTCTACAATATTTAGAATTATTATTAGATAAATAGGAGAGTTGGAATTCAAAGAATGGAAAAAATGAACTTACGCAAAACCAAAGGCAAACAAAGCACAAGTGACAACAATTCCGTCGAGGATATTCCAGAAATCTCGGCAGTACGATCCAGGATGGAGTAGTATTCCTTGATCGATTAACTGGAATTTTTTAATATTTAGAATTGTTTCAAAATTTTTGGGATTTCCGATCTCTTACCTTCAGAAGCATTTCGCAAGCAAAAACTCCCGTGAAACAGTAATCCATATATTGCAACACTTTGTTTCTTGGATTCTCCTCATCTACTGGATCTTCAGCGGCTAGCGAGACGGAAGACAGACAAATGACAGTCATGACCATCATTTCAAAGTATTTGGTACATACAATACTGTGAATGAGAACTCGAAATGGGTTTGTTGGCGAGAGAAAGAACATTGAACTATAGGGAACCATTGGTTTGGGACCACCAAAGGGTGATTCTTCCTCTTCGCATTCTTCATCCATTTCTGAAAAAAAAAAACATTTTATTTTTTTTCACCATCCCACTTCCAGATGGTCCCTACCATCCATAGCTCTTGCGACTGCACACATATCACCAGCAGTCTTTCCTTCCATATCAATTGTACAATGATCTCCTTCTTGAAATTGCTCATCAACTTCTTCTGATTCCTCTTCTATCTCGTTCGCCTTTTCATCTGCCTCTTCAGCAGCTGTTAGTTCCTGTGCATTCGCCAAGTTGTCGACAGCGATAGCCAAGAACACATTTAGCAAGGTGTCTGGAATAATAAACTATTTCTGGACCTGCTTTTGACTTTCAGAACACTTACAGTTACCGAAGAGTACCAGAACGATGAAATAAATTGAGTAAGGCCATCCACCACTGTAGATTCCTCCTTGCGATTCAATAGCGAGATACATCACTTCGTTCCAGTCTTCTCCAGTGAGAATCTTAAAGAATTTTAATTTTGTTCGAAGTTCCTATGACAATTGATTGAACTCACTTGAAACACAGTAATGAGAGCCACTGGAAAGGTGTCAAAATGTGTGTATGGATGCATGGTAGGAAAGTTGAATCTTCCTCCAAACAATTGCATACCAAGAAGTGCAAAGATGAGAATGAACAAAAAGAGAAGGAACAGAAGGGAGATAATACTTCTCATAGAGTTCATGAGAGATCGGACCAGATTACGAAGAGATACCCAGTAGGAAGTGAGTTTGAAAATACGGAGAAGTCGGAGAGCTCTCATCACAGAAATACCAAAAGAGCCTCCGTATACTTCGGCCCAGATGACTTCGGCAGCTGATCCGACGATAACGACACAATCGAATCGGTTGAATTTAGAAGCGAAGTAGGTGCGCGAACCCATAGCGAACAGTTTGAGAAGCATCTCAACCACGAAAATACCCAGGAAGACGAATTCAGCATATTCTGAAAAATATTTTGGTGATTATTTTTAGTTTCTGGAGATTTGGGCTCTCATTCCGTTTGGTCTAAAATGGCGACCGCCAACCCAACCGCACATCTCAGGGTGTACAACAATTCGGGGATGAAATGGTGTACGAATTGAGTTAGGGGTACAAAATTGGAAGTTTTTCAGGTATTTTGTTAAATCAATTGTCGATTCAGTCGACCAAATTTGTGGGTCAGCAGTCGGTCGGTCGGCTACGATCCCCACCCACATGAAAGCCTTATTCATAAAATTGATAACTTACTTAAAAAATCCGTAAACCATTGTGGTTGTCCATAATGCTCACTAGCGACACAGCAAGTGTTTAAAAATACCAGTGTAATAACCGACCAGTAAAAGATTTGAGTTTTCACCATGATACGTATTTGAATTCTGAAAAATTCAAAATTTCAATTCTTGAGACCCCAAAAATCAATATACCTCAATTGTTTAATAAATTTTCCTAACGAATGACAACATCCTCTCTTTTTTCTCTCAGCTGAAAATTATACAATTATCTCAATGTACAAACACAACGTCTATTCGAAAAAACAATCAAAAAACGTTTTTACGAATAGACATGAAAGAGGAAAAACAGCTTGAAACATTTCACTTCAAACGACATGCCTTGGAAAGAAACTTGAAGAAAAAACCTGATTGCAGAATAATCACGCTGGATTCTCAGAAAAAGCGAGAATCTCCAGAATCATGCTGAAAAGTTGGTATGTGTGGGTGCTGTGATGGGACCACACTTCTTCTATGTTAGAAATTTTAAAACTATCTAGTTTAGAAGTCGACAGTAGATCATAGAAAGGTAAGAAGAAACAAACTTGCTCCATGGAAGATGCAAAAAAAGTGTCAGTGTCTTTGTGCCAAACGATTCTGTAGGTTAACACCGCAAGAAAAGACGCGATATCATGCAAAAGATAAAAATCTTTAAAAAGAACTCGTGTTTCAAAAAGGACATGCGAATGAATTGGTAAAATGATCTTGCCGAATTCGTCCTCCACTGCTCCACCTTCGTCGACGTATTCCTCTTCCATCTCATCCTCATCTTCTTCAAAATCTTCTTCAGTCTCTGTGGATTGTTGTTTGGATGCTTGTTTGAGCTTCTTGTTGGCTGCTCGGCGCCGAGCTTCCATGATAGCCGCTTTCTCCTCTTCAGTGGTACGGTCTTCCTTCAAAATCACTTCTTCGGCAGTCAGAATCCATTCAAGATATCTAAAACAAACATTTCAATGTGTTTAGTGATTAGTAAACATACCCATTGAGCTCCCTTTCAATCTGTTGTTGTCTTCTGAGCTTCAAAAATTCTCTACGGTTCTCAACACGTTCTCTCTCCTTGGCAAACTCTCTGTAATTCAAAGAATTAGCCTTTCCCTCTCAATAAATGAATATCCTACCCAGACAACACTCCGAGAACGAGATTGAGCATGAAAAATGATCCTAAAACTATAAGCGGGATAAAATAGGCCCAGTTGTAAGTGCTTCCTAGTGAATCGTTCGTGTAATACATTACAGTGGTCCACCCTTCCATAGTAATGCATTGAAACACCGTGATCATGGCGAAGCCAATATTGTCAAAAGAAGTGATTCCTGGAAATCAATAATTCGGTTAACTGTAAACAGAGACTATTGTAAACTAAGCCACGCGCCATAATTAGGTCCTATCCACTTTTGCAAACAGGTGGTTCCTTTGACATCACAGTTGTAAACACCCATTGGCGAAGTTTTGTTAGTACATGGCATCGGTTTCTCCGAGACGTTCTCAATTTCACCTCGCTCGTTATAACACGCGCTGTGAAACGCTCCAGAGTAGAATTCGAGTCCGATGATGGCGAAGATGATAATCGCGAACAACACAAGCAGTCCGATTTGGAGCAATGGCGCCATTGCACACAGGATAGATTTGAGGACGACTTGTAAACCTGGAAAATATCGGTAATTCTTAGGTTTTATAGTTCTAAAAACTCACTCGGAATTCCGGAAACCAATTTGAGTGGTCGAAGCACACGAACAGCTCGCAATGTTCGCAGATCGACCGTGTCCACCGGTTGATTGGCGGCTTGGATGGTGGAACCAAATGGCAACATTGTAACAACACTGGAAATGAAGGAATTTTCAATAAATTTGTAAAAGTTAATATATTTTTGAATAGAAGAATCGATTTTCTCAAGACTTTGAATAAAACTAAACGTCTAACCAAGAGAATGAAGATTCTCTGAGGAAGTATCGACAGAAAAAAATGACTACGGAAATTGGGATTTTTCAATTATCGTTTTTCACTTCTCTCAATTTCCTGCTGGAGCCAAGAAGCGGTTTCTTGCTAAAAGTCAGAAAAAGGATTTGATGATAAAGAATATGAGTAAGTATTAAAAAACTTGTACTTCTTCTTTGTCAGACAATCAAAGTTCATCAAAATCACTTTAATCAATTCCAAAAAACTCGGTTCTTATTGGTTATTTTGGTTCTTAAAGATAATTTTGGTCTTCGAAAATACTTTGGTCCTTTATATTGATTTTGGTCGTTAATAGTGATTTTGCTCTTCTTATGGATAATTTTGGTCCACGAATTTAATTTTGTTTTTCCAAAAAACAATTGTGGTCCGGTTCTCAGTAAATCATTTTTTTTGGTCTTTAAAAAATCAAAGAAAAAAGATAATTTTGCTCTTTGGCTTTAATTTTGGTTTTTAAATTCAATTTTCGCTCTGCGAGATAATTTCGGTCCACGCAGATAATATTGGTCTCCAAATATAATTTTGCTCCCTAAAGATGATTTTGGTCCTTGACGATGATTCTAGTCTTTAAATTCAATTGCGGTCTTTAAAGTTAAATCAACTACATCAAGTTTTTTTTTTCTGAATCGGATTGTTCAAACGCAGAATGAGTAAAATTCTTCTTTTTTTGTTCAAAAAGGTCAGCTTCATAAAAATTAGATATATCATCATTCTCCTGGCCTTCTGAATAGTTTTCTATTACTTGACCCTATTCTTCATATATTTTCCAGATTTTTTTTGCCAAGATTATTTTCAAGGACCAAAACTGTCATTGAGGACAGAAAATGTCTCCATGGATTAATGTTTTTGTCAAGGGCCTGAATTATCTTTGAGAATCAAAATAGTCTCCGAACTCACCCAGAAACGACTACAATGAAGTCCATGATATTCCATCCTGATCGTAGATATGAGCCTTTATGGAAGGCGAATCCGAAAGCAATCACTTTTAAAATGCATTCTAAACAAAAAATTCCCATAAAGTACGGTTCCGTCCGCTCCAGCCATTCCGACAATGCCTTCTTGTCGTTTTTTGGAAGATGTTGCTCCATTGATAATACCACACAGTTGCCTATAATCGTCAATAAGATAAAATATTCGAACGGTCCCCATTCGATGATCGCCTTCGCATTTCTGCGTATAATGTTGTCCTCCGCAAAGATGAAGAGGGAGGTCGGCCCCTGCAAAAAACTTTAGTTCCTTTTCATTTTTCATATTTTGTCAAAAAGTCACTCCGACAAGTTCCGAATATGAGATACTTGTCAGAGAAATTCTCACTTGGGAATTTAGGTTCCCCCAATTTTCTTTCTTTTACTTCCAACTTTCCCAAGAAAAATCTTTTTTCAAAAATTTTGTTTACCCAGGCAAATGAGGTAAATGCAATCAGGAGGAGAAAATATGGATCTGAGAAAATTTCAAGATAATTTGGTTTCCCCCTCCCGTCTAGCTTTTGTCGTACACACTGATTCTCGTTTGTCACGCAAATGAGCCCTGGGTTCTGGGCCAGAACTTCTGGCTCTGGCTCTTCGCGCGCCAAAAAAAGATTAGTCCCGGATGTTTAGTGCAAATATGTAGATTTACGTCCCTCTGACGACTTTCCCACCGCTTCTCGACAATTACTCAATTTGTCCTCTTTTGCGAGAGACTAAACAGAGCTGGCAAAACTCTAGTCATTTCTTATTAAACACTCCATACATTTTGTGGTCCCCTTCTCAGTCACAATCCTCTCACACTTCCTTCCCGTTTTCTATTCAGGGGGACCATTCCATAGAGGATTGATTGCAAGAGTGTGAAAACGGGTCGAAATGGAAGTCGGGAGAGGAAAGATGAAGCTCTCTTGTGTGGTGCCAGAATAATTATGAAACCCATAATGGGAGTTTGGAGAGAAAAAAGAGGAAGATGCTCATTCTTCTTCTAGAGCTCATCCCCTTGCGCTGGAAAATGTTGCCTTTCAAAATCCTTCGTCTGTTTTGAAAGAAGATATATAATGAAGGAGTCCTTCATTGCGAAATGAATCTCACACGTGATTTGAATTTAGGAGACACTATGGCTGTTTTGAAATTGAATCTAGGAGATGAGATTTCAAAATGAGATACTGTAGGTTTCGCGTGTCAAGTGTAAAAAGGAGCAATAGTAAATGGAGCCAGAGCAGCGTCAAGAAGAGAAAAACATTTCTAGTGAATATTCAAGCGGTTTTGGAAACTGATACCGTACTGCAAGAAATAATGGGGATCACCCGAAATTCTAGAACGGGTTTTGAATATATAAAGCAGCTTTGGACTATCAGATGATTTTCAAAAATTCCAGAAATTACAGATACCATTTTTTATACCGATAAAGAACCGTGCAAGCTTTAATACAGAGAACGTTCTCAAGGTGTCCACTTTGAGGCCGTATATCTCATTTCCTGTGGAAAATAGCAAAAAACGGTCGACTGATAAAATGTTAATCGTATTCTTAAAAACATTTGTCAGTTAGTCAATGTTTGATATCTCTCACAAATACCGAAATAAATTGACTTGAAGTTTAAAGTTGGATACTAATTTTATTATTGTGAATAAGGGGTTTCTACAAAAAACCCCTTATTAGAAAAATGATATCATATCCGATGAAAAAAGATATCAATTAAAAAAGATAATGAGCAAATTATCCTAAAAGAAATTTGATATTTCCAAGTCATCCTGAACCTCCTTGTCGGCCTTTCTAGAACAACATTCCCAGTTTTTCCTGATTTTTCTCTTTTCTCTTTTTCCGAAACTTAAAGTTTCCAGTTCATTTGCCCCGGAGCACTATCACTAGGCATCTGTGGCTCATCCCATTCTTCTTCTTTTTTCTCTGTACTTCTAGAAAGAGATTTCAAACAAAAAAAAAACGCGAGAGCGGCTACTGCTTCTTCTCTGACTACAGCATTAGGGCTTTAGGAATGGAGAGAAAATTGCGTAGTAGCTGTACTGATTGAATTGTTGTGCTCTCTGTGTGGGGAAACACGGCCTCGACGGCTCTTCTCGGGTTGAAAGCAACAAGAGAGATGCAACAAGAGACCTTTGGAGGGACGGCTCGGAAATTTGTGTTGTCACTATAGCCCAGGGGTCAGCTCTTACAGTAAGATTTAAAGCTTTACTTCCCTTGTTAAACTGCTAAGATCATCAGAAATCTTATTTGAAATTCAAGTCCCCTTTCTGCTAGACTACTATTTATGGTTCTTGATAAACACTATTGCGCCAAAAATGCAGAGCACCACGGAAACTCTCCCATGGGACGCCTAGGGAGTGATGCATCTGAGTCAAGAAGGCAGAAAAACGTTTTTCGACGTTAAACGATGACTGCGGAGGCGCCTCGGCCTAGAAATGCACCTTTGAGTCCCTCGAATGATCGATTGGAAATCTTTGTAGGCTGCATGTCATATAAATCATCGTTTTGTCTGAAAGACACACGATTCCAGAACAGCTGTTCACGCTCGCTCCAGCCAACGACGACGACTTCCTTCCGTTCCCTCATTGAAATTCACTTCAACACCCCGGATGCTCTCTATTTTATGCCAGTCGAAGGGACCCGTCTTTTTGGCCGGTAGGAAAAATAGAAAAAAAACGAAAAAAAAGGAGAGGTCTCGACTACCTAAAACAATCGTATTATTTTTCACTCGACATCCCATCTCATTTCCAGTAACTTCTAGAATTTCATGTCATCACGGGAGGCCCATCATTTGCTATTCTAACTGAAAAAAAACCAAAGGATGATCTATAATTGTCCCCCTCTGTTTTTAAATACCCTCAGACCTGGAGCCATGGGGTGAAAACATAAAAGTCCATTCGGAACTAGAACGAAAAAAATTGTCTTTCATCTCAAATGCATAAGCAAGTTGACAACGACGGTCCTTAGGTTCCGCGCCGTATGTTATGTGTCCAGCGGCATCCCATGTGTCGAAACGTACACATTTTTGAATAACAAAAGAACACGTCGTCGTCAATGTTTTGTGCAAACGGCTCTTCTTACAGCAAAAACGTCTTGCGGCGAAGAAGCTTTTGCGCGCGGATCATCCATATCCGTCAAAAACGCTTTTTGCACTTGAATGAATGCTTAAATGGCGGCGGCAACGCGAGAAAGCACACAATAGTGCCGCAACATTTTTACAACAACGGGTTCATCAATTTTTCAAAACGTGAGAGGCCAGTCCACCAAAACAGTTGAACCGGAAAGTTTTTTTTTTCCGTGGTGGCGGGCCGAAAATAATTTGGGGCTACACAGACGCATAAGTATAGGTCCAGTCAATCACTTCCGGCCCACCTTGTGGTCACTCGTCCCCCCAGCTTCTGGATATACGACGAGTCAACGCACATACACACCCACCTCTCGTCGCAAGTCATTATTCATTAATTTGTAAGCATCTGGTTTCAGAGAGATGATATTCGAGAAAGGTGGCTCCCCTGTTTTCCTATTCTACGCTCGATTTTTTTGGCATGTGTTTCAGAACCAGGAAGGCGCTGGATGCGTGACTAGCAAGAATTTCAGATGATTTCATATTGGGGATTTGGATAACGACTACACAGCTAATCCTCGCCCCAAAAATACCACACCCACTTAAACTGATTGAAATGGAGACGTGAAAAGAGTCGACATCATTATAATACTAATCATTTCCTTTCTTTTATAAACCGATTCCAATCCCATCCATCTTTCAATTGTTCAGAACATGAAAAACAATGTGTGTAGTGTCTGGGGGCAAGGAAACGAGGAACGGCATGTCATTAGAAAATGAAAGGGTTCTGGATTAATGATGGGGTGAGAGGGAAGAAGTAAGCTGTATGTTTACCACGACCGTACATGTTACGTATAACGTTACCTATAACGTTTTGAATAGTCATAAGTTCCGACTTGCAACTTTTTCTCTCTCGAACAAAAAATAGTTTCCAATGGAGCATGTTGCAATTCCTCTCTCATTGACTACTCAGAGTCCATCGTGCTCCGGGGACCTTTTTCCTTTCCCGTTTTGTGCTCTTGCTCTGGAGCAAAGGCATGTAAGAGTCTCGAAAAGCGTTGTGCTTGGCACTCTTCTTTCTCCAACAACGCAAGAAACACGAGCCTTTTTGCGTGTGCTAGGGTAATATGAAAGAAAATTTAATTAGACGGACTCGCCTGTTGATTACGTTTTTCCTTACATACACAGAGAGAGAGAGAGAGAGAGGGAGAGAAACGGCAAAAATTGAAATGCCAATGGAGGGGACAAAAACTAAGAAACAAAAAAAACGATGTACGGGACCGTGAAAAACACCGGAAATAGGGTTTTGACAGAGTCAAGGGTCTAGGACTTTTTCTGGACTAATCAGTTGATAGATCAGAAAGAAAATTGGCAATTTTTCTTTCAAGTGTCACAACTTTTTACAGGGGGTCCACAGATTGAAAACAATGAACAATTTGTCTTTGATATTCAAACTTTTTTCAAGCCTAAAAAAATTTATTTACAGTAATACTCACCTTCTCCTTAATCGGCGCATTTGATGATAGTGTTGTTTTTCTGACAAATGTGCCACTTTCTGCTTTTTGCTCTCTCCGGGCTTCTTCTGCAGCTAGTCTGAAAATGTGAACGATTAGTGGCGCTTTCTAAAAATCGTTGTTTAACATCTGAAATAAGCACTAACAATTAGAAATCATTTGTGGCATTTTTTTGTGGTGAAAGTTTTTTTTTTTTTGAAAGACACAACGACACCCAGGGTTTTCATTATTCACTTTTTCGTTTGGAATACCGCTGAAAAATCATTTTTAGATTTTCATTTGAAGTACAATATCTTCTAGTTTGGTCTGAAAAAGGACAGGACGTTTCCACAGCGTGAGAAAATATGAAAAACCAAGGGCAAACTGAAAAAGAGCAACACAAAAAATTATATAATGGTACATGCAAAGAATAATAGTTTCAGAAAAAATCAGGTAGACAAAATACTGTTTTAGGTATTTTTAATACTGTAGTCACTGGTGATAAGAATCACAGCATTGATAAGAGTACCTTGCAATCTGGTCTATTCCCAGCATCGCTGGGAGTCCGGATTACTGTAGTGTCCTATCTTGGCCGACGGACTATCCCGCATCGGATGGTGTGCATAGTAGCGACGACGGCGGCTGCGTCCTGCTGACGGGCCCCCAGCTTCAATTCTTCTTCTTCTTCTAAGGGGTTCTGGGCGGGAGGATAACGGAGTGAGGCGCTGATCCACGGGGGGGGGTTGGGTTTCGCGAGTTTTTCAAAAATGGAGGCGGGTTTCCACGTCAGGGGGCCTCCCGAAAGGCACTAGGTGTGAGACTGTTTCAAATAGAGAGACCGAGGGGGCGAGAAGAAGAAGAAGAAGAAGAAGAGGAAGAAGGCGATGCAGAAGCTAGTTGGCAGGCAGCTCCCGATAGAGAAGGATGCATCTAGAGGCGAGGGCCCAAACGACTAAGTCAGTCATTGGAAGGATGATGCGCCTTCAGAAATAAAAGGATATAAACATGCATTATATTAATAATAATCCAGGACATGTCTCTCATTCTCTCTGTCTCTTTTTCTCTCTAATTCTCGTGTCAAGCTGCCAGATGCACTCACCTTGTTAGCAACAAAGAAGAAGAGAGTGTATTACGTTCATAAAAATCTTCTTTGGCCAGTTCTCACTGTCTTCTCTATCTAGATCTATTTCAGAAATAGAAAATCGAAGCCTAATTTTTGTCTATTCTACCGTTATTCCTATTTTGAAATTCTCCGTTTTTCGCTGTCACAGCGGAACTCAAAATCTTCAACTCGTCCATCCAGCACATAGAAAACTCCCGCGGGAGTTGAAAACGTGGACGAAAAAGATATCAATCTTGGAATTTCAAAATTCTTCGTCTACGTTTTCTTTCTTTTCACGTGCTGCTTGCCAAAAGTACTACTTGGGAAATTGGAGACTGCTCATATGAATTTTGTTCAATTTGTTTTGAAATTGTCTATAGAAATTATATATTTTTGAAGCCAATTTTCGTTTTTGTTAATTGCAGCATTTTGATATGTCGTCAGGAAATTGAGATAGTTAAGCCCAAAGAACAGATATAGGGCTAATCCTACTAGAACATTTACAGTAATCGTAGTGAATAAAATTTATAAAATTATAAAAATATTAGTGTCATTAAACTACCGTAAAACCTGCAATAGAAAAATCCTATGCTGTCAGGTTTGAGCTAATTTTTAGTGGAACCTACGCATGATATCAAAGATTTTTCTATTGATAAAACATTTTTGATATCCCCATAAACAATTTATCAGGCGAGAACTGTTTTTATCTTTGGCAGAAACTGAGAGACATTGACTCAAAGTTGAAAGTTATGTTTTCGCTAAAATTGTTTTTTTCCTCTAAACTTGCATTCCTCTATTCAAAACTGCATTTCAATTTCCAAAATAGTCTATTGTTCCAAGTCGCCTCTATTTTTCAACTTTTTTTTCACCCAAACAAAATAAAGACAAGTCGTCCAAAAATAAAGCTATTGTTAGAATTTCTTTGTTCACTCGCTTTTTCCAAATTTAGGCCCTATCACGGTTCACTGGCTACGAAGTCCCGTTTTTTTTTGTTCACAACAATAGATGCGCACATTATATACAAAGAAATGAGCTAAGAAAAAAAATACATATATTCGAGTCATGAGCTGAATGTGCAAAAACTGAGGGAAAGAGAGGAAGCAGAAATACAAAACGAACATAGTATGAGAACACGAAATGGTGGATCAGCAAGATTTTTAGATTTTCCGAATCAAATCCTGCTAGAAAACGTTTTCAGAGAAAGCATCAGAGGGACACAGAAGCAATGTGAATATGGACCAACACTTTTTGAATAAAACACTTTGCAAATCGAATTTTCATAATTTGAACTCACGCCCTTTCTATTTTGTACGGTAACTTTTTGCTCCTTTCGAATATCACAAGATCTCTTGAAATTAAAAGAGCTGAATTACAAGCGGTGATAAAAGAGTTCCAGCACATTCAAGTTTGAGCTGACTTTTCTAGGCTCTTACGCGAAATATCAAAACGTGTCAACTGATAAAAAATTTCTAATATTATGATAAAGAATTCATAAATTGTTAACTTCTATGTTCTACGTTAATTTCAAGAAACATAATATTTTGGCAATGTTTTCATGAACTATAGAAATTGCAGTGTTAATTTCATGAAAACTAATTCTGTATTAGAAGGACTTTCACAATTTTAACCTTGAGATTTTTTAACAGACACATTTAGTTTGCCGAAAATATTTTGCTATAGTTTATCGAAACAAGTATAAATTCAGTCCATGCAAATGTTATTGACGCTCATTCTATCAGAGGCTTTACGGAAAAATGAAACTAATTCAGTTCACGATTCCAACTGAAATGATGAATACAAAAATGTAAAACGTTCAAACTCTGAGGAACTTCATACAGTTCTAAAATTAGTTATTAAAGGGGGAACTCTGACCAAAAATTTTTATTGCCTTAAAATGTTTCAAAAAATATGTTTTTTCATAATATTATTGCGAAACAATTCAAAGAAAATCCTAGATCCCCGAAAAGCGGAGTTGAAAAAAAATTGGATTTGAATCCCCGCGCAGTGAGAAACCTAGGCCACGGCATCATAGCGCCTTTCTGACATGGAAATTTTTCCGGATTTTTTCGGTTTTCATGTCCGGCAGGTAAAAAACTTTAAAAACCACTGTCGGCCACTTGAAAAAAACGGCTATCAGGCTCCGTGGTCTAGGTTTTTCACTGCGCGGGAATTCAAATCCTCGTCCCTCTTAGCAACTTGTTTTTGAAAATTTTTCTTTTTTAACGGCATTTTTTGAGGATTTCGGATTTTTTTCGAATTTTTTTGCTTTAATATTGGGAAAATAGACAACTTTTTGATCATTTTAATGCAATAAAAATTTTTGGTCGGAGTCCTCCTTTAATTGTTTGAGTCTGATTTATCTTGGTTCCTGTCAAAAATATGAAAAGTGGTCAATTGATCAATTGTTTACATCAATATAAAATACTTTTTACAGATGAAACATTTTTGATATCCTGCATATGAGACGAAAAATTAGTTCATACGTGAGAGTGTGAGGAACCATTCTATCACTGTCTTTGCGGTACTAACATTTCGGATTTTGCTCTGTTCAAGTTTTCAACTTTCGCATCGCAAGCGCGAAAATTGTGCAAAACTTCAAGGGCGAATGCCCGCGCTCGCCCATCCCTGTTATAGAATGAAGACAAATTTTTCTTTGGTTTTTTTCTAGGTTTGGTTCAAAAGTGACATAAAAAAACTTTCTATCCTGAATCCTTTCAAAATTGTAAACTCTGTTTCTGGATGCTCTAGAATTTTCGGCTAAAAATGAACGAAAGTTAGTTCTAAAATAGAAAAGTGTTTTTTACAAGTGAATAAAAAAAATACTTTTACAAGATTGATGTTTGATAGAAAAGTATTGAAAAAGTATTGATGGAAAAAGGGAAAGGTTTTTGCATGTGTTTGTACGTTTTAACCGCAATTTTGAAAAAGAACTATGCTATTAGCAATTCGATGTAAATCGCAAAGTTTTCAATAGAGAGGTTGATTTCTAAAAACGGCGTCAAGATATTTAGGCGTCAGTAACTCAAGAAAGACAACCTGAAATCCAACTGCAAGTTAAAAAATAATTTGAGCATTGTTCAGCAAACTACTAAAAATGTCTCTATTATAAGCTATTTCTTCTATTAAGCTAGTTCTTAAGAACTTGCGAATTCCATATTCAAAACCCTCAATCAAAATGACAAACCTGTCTCTTCTTTTCCACATATAACTGTAGTAGAGTAATGTGAATGTATTGGGATTTCGATACGCTTTCTTGTAATCCGACGGCATGATTTCTCTGGATTCACAGTGTAGTAAAAGGTTAGGGTGACCACAAGAAATGGGGTGGTGGTAGACCCAAAACGTGAAATCGCGAATTGGAAGGACCGAGGCGAAGAGCAAGTGTCAAAAACAATCATCCAATTGTATAATTTGACGCGATTTGCCGTGTTTTCAGAAGAGGGCGAAAAGGAAAAGAAACATGGATAGATGGGACCTCTTACGTCTTTTCTCTATCTACGACTAATGCACTCCAGTAAGACGACTACAGTGGTAAATGAGAGAGGGTTTTTTCGGAACAGGAGAACAAGAGAGCAATATGCTATAGCTACACAATAATAATCGTCTTCTTGGGTTTACGTGTGTTCACAACCGCAATCATATATTCATGCCGTCGTCTTTTGAAAACGATGCTATAGATCTTAATGGTATGTATCACTAATAAGCGGTTTGGTTTTGAGGTTGCCACGCACACGCGATAATAAAAAAAGGTGGGTACACGCTACAATAGACTTCTGGATTTCAGAATACAACAGTATTAAGGAAATGGGTAGGACAGAAAAACAGGTCATTTCATATTGGAGTCATGAAACTGGCCGATAATTTGAGTGGACTGTCTCCATTTACGTTGTCATTTCCCAAAGTTAGTAGGTAATGCTAATACATTGCGTTTATCATGGATGGGCAAAATTTGAAAAATTTGAACACACTATTTTTAAGAATTCCTTTATTTTTGTTTCATAGCTTGAAGTTATTTGGTTTTGGGATTATCGTATTTTCAATATTTAAAAATATTTAAAAAATTTCAGATTGAATGATTCACATCACCCCTGTTAATCATTTGAAAATATTGAACAAGAGGACATGCAACAGAATTAATTACGTATTTCATATTTCACAATTTTCACAAATTTCAGAATTTAAAAATCAACTCACCTTGGTAATGCGGGCCATACTGCCATCTGCACCGCCTCTTTGATCATTTCACCCGGCCGGGGTGTTCGAACTTCAAACAGTCGATCATTGATGGAAATTTTTCGCGGCTGTATCGGGGATGGTATGATTTCTGATGCGGCAATCGGAATCATCCATGGTTGTAAACGATCAAGTGATGGTAGAAGCCAAGTGACCGAGCCATTCGGCTGTGATGAGGCGCCAGCAGCGGCACCATCACCGTCGTGTCCCATACAGGAGTCAAAATGCTCCCGAGTGACCAACTCAAGGCCGTGTCATCAAAAAGATTGGCATGATTTTTGCGGGGAGTTTAGAGTAAAGGGGTCTGAATTTATATTGATGGGAGAGGAGAGAAGGAAAGGAGAAAATGAAGGAGGGATGAGAAAGTTACTGGAAGAAAATGTGAGTGGAATAAAAATGAGAAGTACCAGAGGCAAAAATGATTACATCCGATACCACAAGACATCTGGTCATTTGCTGGTGGGGAGGGGAAAAAATTATCAAGATGCTTTGAGAAGACAAGAACCTTGCGTCTTTCTTTATTATATGACCCTGAGTCCTTACGACAAAGCTAATGAACTTATACCAAATAAAAAAAGGAGACCTCTATTCATAGTAGAACTAAAAAATTTTCGACAGAGAGAAAAAAATGTCGAATTCAATGCATTCGCTTTTGTCCTTCGAAGTTTTAGTTCATGCTCAAGAAGGCGTGAACTTCTATTTGCTCTGAGAGCATCAAATAAGTTTAAAATGCATACATTTTTTATATTGAACATTCACACACCATGAAAATTGTTCCTCCGTTTGAAACACGAGCAAAAATTGGAGTTTATATATTCCAAAATGCACTAGCTGCGTTTTTTCTAGCTACACTGTGTGAGAAAATACGTTTTAAAAACAAAAAAAAAACTGAATGGAAGGACAATGGACTCCACGCAACACAACTAATTGGTTATGGACCCCTCTTTCCCCCACACGTTTTCTTGGAAGGCACAATAACCCGCTTGTTTCTTTTTTATCCACTCCACAAACGGGTCTTTGAAGAACAAAAAAACCCGGACTAAAAACCAAAGGGAACTACTATAGTTCAAAAAGCGATGCTAAATGTTTTTGTTATACTTTTTTGGGAGAGAAAAGAAGCAAAAAAATAAGAAAAGGAAAAAGAAATGTCTCAAAAAACCATCTGACAAAACGACGGAAGTTAAAGACAAACCTTTAGGACATTCTGCTTCGCTAACGCGACGGAAAACAAGACAAATTTTTTTGGGATATCTAGAACTACCATTAAAAATATTGCATAGTGAAGAAAAAGGAAAAGTAGTATTCTGATTCATCTTGCTCTTAGTTTTCGTTTCAAAGATTTTTTTTTCGAAAGGGCCAGGAACAATTCAATTCTTCAAAAATGCATGTTTTCCCGAGAAGGCAGAAAAAAAGTGTCTCCATGTTGTATGAGCTGCTCCAGAAAATGGAGAATAAGACGGCACAAAACAAAAACAATACTTGAATCGAGGAAAAAAAACGACTTCTGAGTTCTGATGAAAAAAGTTTGAAATGGATTAAATTGTAAATGGATGCTAAGGTTTTCGAATTTCAATTTCAGATTGTTTTCAGGAAATGGGACAATGGGAAACTAGAAAATTCGGAATATTTTTATTCGGAATCATTTTTTGGAATTTTCTGCGATTTTTAAGATTATTTTTTGGACAAAGGGCAATAAACAGACCCGTTCATTTTTGAAATGCGAATGAAACCCCAATATTCGCAGAATTTGACTTTAAAAAAAGTTTATATTTTTATCAAAAAAACCGCGGAATTCATTATTCCGTGTTCAGAATAAGAGTCCTATCTATTTCAAAAATGACTTCAAAAACATTGGAACTGGATAAACATGTCCCAGACTATCATGTTTCTTTCTCCTACGTATTTTTCTAAAAGCTCACTATTTTAATAAAACATTAGGAGCCAAAAAAGAACAAATCCAAAAAAAAAACCAGAAAAAAAAAACAATTGAGAATCAGAACTTTTGAAGAGTACAAAATAAAACACTTGGAAGAAAGGGGTCCTAGTCGGAATTAAGGCCGCGATACATAATTGCGCGAGTGGAATGTATGTAGAATAATTGTCAGAATGATTTATCACAGAATAGATGCGGTTAACGTCGGATCGGAAACTGCTCGTCAAACTTATTTATTTGCCGTTTCCCGGTCGATTCTACTTCTACTTCTATGTAGTAGAAAAGGGTCGCAAAAGAATTATTGAGGAATGCTCTTGTGCACTTATCTCAAGTACCGCTACTAGAAGACCTCCGGAGAGAATGAGATGTGTGAGAGGATATTTCAAATTCTGTAGATTCTATTTTGAATCAATGTATTTTAAATCAAATATTGAAAACCAGGAGGCTTCTAAATTCAGTATCAGTCAAACTTTTCAGAAGGCAACTAACACATACTACGAAAAAAGACAACTTTTTATACTGCCAGCTCTTTTTTGTGATTCGTGGTGGTGAAATATTTTGCGCCGAATCCAATTGATTCGTCACTGAGCGTTTTCAAATCTAATAATCATAATTTGGTTATAGGGCGTGAGCTGAGACACTTTTTGTGGTGTTGTTTCTTTTTGGATATGCAAGATTTTGATTCGACAAAATACAAAAAAGTGTAGAAAAGAAACTAACCAAACTAATACCAAATACAGTAGGAAAAAGGCGGGAAAAATTCCTAACGCTTTTTAGAATTTTTCTAAAATTGGAACAAAACAAGGACTGAAACTTTAGTGGGTCATAATTTGTATGATATGGTTCAAATTTTTCTAGCAGAATCCCAAATTAGAAAATTCGAACCATGTATTTTTTCACTATAATTGTCATGTAGTAACTTTAAATTTTTAAGAATTTAGGATAAGTTATCTATAACTTATTTTTTAAATGGTAGGTCAAAATAACAGATCTCACAAGAGAATGTCGTTCAGAAAGCTCTTCAGGATTAAAAATCGATCTGAAATTATAGCATTTCCACCAGTTTCATCGCCTCCCTTCTCCTCCCCTTTCTTCACTGCATTGCGTGCAAGAGTAAAACATGCCTCGGTAGCCTAGTGGCTAGCAGGGAGGACAAGCACATATGCAGGTTCGGGTCCTCTTTCTTTTATTTTCATTTTTCTTATTTTTTCAAAAGTAAAAAGTCGTTTTCGAAGGGTTTGGCAAATGGGTAACACTTTTTTTAACATTTTCTATGATCTGCAATGATTTTCGAATAATTTCAAAAAACAATTTTTTTTCGAAAAAAAATCGCCATAGAGTCCTACCACACTTTTTTCATGAATTTTGAAATTTTTTTCAGAAGTGCAAAAAAGGATTTCAAACGTTCAGAAGGGATAAAAACATCATTCTCACAAAATTTGGTATCATATAGCACACCAACAGAGACTTTTGGATTTGGATTTATACCAATATAAATACCAATATTTTTGGCACCCGGAACTTGGCCCGTTTTGCTCTTTTTGAAGTGAAACTAGGTATATTCAAACCCCTCGAAAACGATTTTTTACGTTTGAAAAAATAAGAAAAATAAAAATAAAAGAAGGATGGCCCGAACCTGCATATGTGCTTTTGTGGTCCCTGCTAGCCACTAGGCTACCGAGGCATGTTTTACTCTTGCACGCAACGCAGTGAAGAAAGGGGAGGAGAAGGGAGGCGATGAGACTGGTGGAAATGCTATAATTTCAGATCGATTTTTCTCGAGTTTCAGCGATTTCAGCAGGTAGAGACTATTATTACGTAAAAGCCCATACTCGATTCTATAAATGAGCCAATTTAGAGAAAATTCTGAAGAGCTCTCTGAACGACATTCCCTTGTCAGAGTAATCTCTGCAAGCCTACCAATGTCTTGCAAAATAATTGTGATGAGAGTCAGAATGATTCAAATTCAAAATTACACAAGATTGACAGAATTTCTATTTTTAAGTCAAAAAACTAGGACATCAATTGTGCTTGATTTGAGAAATGAAAACACTAGAAACCCAAAATCTTCATCCAGCGTAAGATTAAAAACGAGAACCAAGAACTAATTTTGGAAGAAAGAGACAGAGAAAAAGACATAAAAGAGAGTTTCGGAGCAAAATTCCAAAATGCGTAGTATCTTGTTTCGGCGAGTGGCAAGCTGAAGTCCTAGATGATACTTTTTCCTTTCTTCCACAACCACACGCTATGCACTAACTAATTGAGACCAAAAATGATATGACCCTTTGGCAGGGGTATCTCAGTGTCTACATGATTGGGACCAGGTGAGCAGAGATGATGACTGGGTGCTTCAATGAGCACGCAACCGTTATTCATTCAGGAGAGCAAAAAAATGGCGTTTCGAAAATGAAGGGCACCCAGACTTCGATTTCTATACCCATCTAAGGTTTCTTGATTGGTTTCTTATTCGCGTCGAAAGCGAATAAAAATGAAAAAAAGTAATTGACTTTAGAATTGTTCAGGAGCTTAGTTTACAAACAAATGGAACACAATAGCCGTTTTGAAAAGAGATCCCTCCCCTTGGGGGTTACCTATCAGGGCACTCTCATCTTATTTTGTCCACGACGTTTATTCTAGTCCATCTCTTCCATGTAACTAATTAAAGTGAAAAATGACAAAAATAATCTGAATTCAAGTAAAAACCCAACAAAATTAGTCAAGACGAATGAGAGCAAAAAAAAACGAAAGCGACCCTACTAACTTGGTTATGAACTGGCACACAGATGAGAAGAAGAAGAAAACGGAGCAGAGGACCCCCTATCCCGAAGTGGGGGAGAAGAGATGAAACGAAGAGTCAAAAACGGAAGAAGAAAAGGTCTGAGAAAAAAAAACTGGAGCAGATGAATTTTTTTGGAAAAAAAAAAGAAATGAAGACATACTGGCAATGATAAAGGTTTCTGCTTCATGAGACAGTTGGGGGTGGAATTTCTAAAGATATCAGATGAAAGACTTTGGGATTCAAAGTTTGGATAGACTGGAAACAATGTTTCATGAGTTTTATATATTGAAAAAAGCTAATAAGATCCACTCTGACTAATATTAGAGTCGAAAAAAAACAATTTTCAAAGTATTCGAAAGTGTTGAAAAGCTAGAAGATCATTTTTTGAAAAAAAAACCACTTATTGTAAATTCTTGAAAATTTGGCTCTATTTGGTTATTTTCAACTTTAAAGAATCTTGGATAAATCAGAGATGTTCGGAACGGAATTCGGAATTTTTTGAAATATTTTTTCTGGAATCAAATTTTTTTCTACTACACTATGCCAAGAAAATTTTGATTGTGGTTCTCGAACATAAAACTTCTTACGACACGCCGTTTTAAAATTTGAATTTGGAAAAATCGCCGAAACTTTCGAAATTTTAAAAATTTTAAAATCGGAATATTCCGAAATTCCGAGATTTTGAAAATTGGAAAATTCCGAATTTCCGAAATTTTGAACAAGGAATTTTCGTTATTCCGAAAAACTCCGGAAAGGCCATTCCGAATATCCCTAGTTTTAAATGAGAATTGTCTGGATTTTAGTGTTTTTCATGTTCTGCAAAATGTCCAGAAAAATTTTACAATCCAACTTTTTGGTAATCCAAACGTTGCTTCAAAATCCTATATAACCGACTAGAGCCAAAAATTCATAAGATAAAAATTGAAAGTCAACAGAATCTAGTTGGTAATTTTGGATTACAATTTTCTAGATAATTTTTTGTTGTTGGATTTTTGAAAAGCAAAAAAAATTGAGAATTAGTTTGAACAATGTTCCAAAATCCAAAAATTGCTTTAAATTCAAAATAATATAAACAAACAGAGACAATCAACTTATCTCAGCCGATATAAATTTACTAGAGTAAAACAGCGATTCCAGTGCAAAAATAACCTGTAACGTCGTAAAAAAATGCAAAAAAACTTTTTTCGATTCACACAGTTTCAAAAATCACTTCTGATAAGTAGGAAATCATCCATTTTGAATGAAAAGAAAACAAATTGTAATTTCAACTTTTAGAAGATATACCAAAACTTTCGGCTCTGATTGGCCTTTTCTGGAAATTTTTAGATTTAAACTTTTTTTGGATTTGAAAAACATTTTTGAAGTAAAAAAATGTGTACTCAAAAAATGAATTTTCAAAGAAAAATAATGGAATTCAAGAAACTTGTGAAATATTGAAATTCAAAAATAAAAAATTTCAAATCAATATGATTACGCTTTTTGCAAAAATATTAGATGAGAAAAAAAAATGAATATTGCGTCGACATGAAGAGGCAAGGGATAAGTGGTTCGTATGAAGATTGCCGGAAAAAGAAACGGAAGAAAACGTATTCGTCGTCGTTGTGCTCCAAGGCTCCGTCTTCTTTTCATCTTCTAGTAGGACAACGGACAAAATGCGGACCATTCCCCCCCAAGACAATCTGGACACTACTCTATTGTTGCAAACATATTCCACATGGGACCCATTTGGAGAAAATATGAAAATAATAATTTTCGGATTTTTCAGAGATAATCAAAAACAAGATGTTATGAAATGATAAGACAGATATTTTGATTCAAGGCGCTAAAACACATTTTTGAATACTAGGGAAAACACAAATTCAAACCTTTAAAATAACTTGGAAAAACCGGAAACACTAAAAACCCAAACAATAATGGTATGTGGTAAAAAAGGTTATGTGAAGTTATTGACAGAGGCCGGTCTCTCGTTCATAGATCCCACAAAGAGACGGAAAGGAAAAAATCTCAAAAAATATTTTTAGAACACTGAAAAATGTGTTCATCTATACTTCCGGTGTTATGGTTGGTGGTCTAGTAAGGGAGAGAGAGAGAGAGAGAGAGAGAGAGAGAGAGAGAGAGAGAGAGAGAGAGAGAGAGAGAAAAAAAGGAAATTATATTTCTATTGATAAGAGAAAAACACTGAGGATGGATGAAATGGATTTGAAGACCTGATTTTAAGACAAAACTCACCACTTCTTTTCTGAAAAATCTGGATGTCTTGACTAAAACGTGGTGACATCTGAAACTTGCTTTTCTGAGTCTGAAATTTTTAGGATCTCTCAACAAGAGACTAAAACGAAAACACCAAATCAGACTAACAAGACATGCATACAGACAAGAAAAGGCAGACGTTCAACAATAGTTAGCGTTTTTTGACAACGCCAGTCAACAAATATTGCTCGTAATAGCTGGGGACTATGATATGCTGCCCAGCATCTTATGCTCCTTTTTTTGTTTCGTACATTTTCTCCTGAAAAAGAAGACCAGAACACTTTGCTTTGGTCCCAATTCCCTGGGTGTCGTTTGTAACATTTTTTGAACTTTCATTTACCACACTTTTGACCTTTTTTTCGAGGACTTACTGGTTCGGCGACGGCAGCTGTCTACTTGCCTCTTTCATCCTCGTCATCAACAGTGCACATGTCTTATGATCGCTGACATCGACTACTCTGAAATAGGGAATAGTTTTAAACAGACGTGTTAGGAATACAGCTGAAATCTAGTCTCATCATGAATAAATTTTCTGTTTTCTGGGGAAATTCTGGAATCAGAACACTGATGTGACTGAAAATTGTTTGATTGAATTGTTTGCACTAAGGATTTTAGTGCCTTTTTTTTAATCTCAAATTTTTTTTGTTTTGAGGAAAGGAAACAGGAGAATTTCTAAATTTTTTTGAAGGTACAGTATGCATTTTTAAGAAAAAACCAAAAAATCACGTCGATTTCGTTTTTTTAGCTTTTCTAGATTACAATGTTTTGAAAATGTAAAAGCAGAATCGTAATCAACAGCTAAATTTAACACTCAGAAAAATGATTTAGGCAAGTTTCGTTTAAAAAAATAATGAACAAATTTTCGCATTTCCGATGTTTTTTAACTGAAAAAATCTACGAAAAATTGGGTAATTCGAAAAGGTCCATACCAGGATTTTGCCAAATGTTTTAAACAATTTTTGTAATCTCAGAAGAACTAGAATTCATATAAAACCACTGTACACTGAATTTTTTTTTGTATGATTTGTAAGACAGTAGTTACCGTTCCAACGATTTCGGTTTTTCAAATTTTTTCAAAAAGAAAAAAGAAAATTTGAGAGGAAAATCACTGAGATAGATTCTGAATTCGTATATTCGCTGTTCTCAAAAATTGGTTGTCATCTATTACATTATTAATGCATTCTCCAAGACTCATAATCTATGAAATGCTAGACGTGTGTGAACAGAATAGAGAATCAGAATTATTCATCGTGTCCCTCCTCCTCGGAATCTATTTTTACGATTCTGTTACGTTCCAGCTCAACTTCTCTCTATAGATCCCTTCAAGCCCTTCATAAATCAAATAAAAATTACCTTCTGGGAGTTTCAAAAAACAGAGCCGGTCCTATCAACCCCAACAATGGAGCAGCTGGTATCCGTGCATCCTCTTTACGAGGGAGCAACAGATGATTTTCATCTTCCATTACGTATGATGTTTTGAAGAATAACAGTAACAAATCACTAGTTCCTGAGCATGACTGACAAGAAACTTTTGAAAAAAGGGTAAAAGAGTAGAATGAGAGGAAAAGAAGAGTATAATAGAAAGTAAGAACACGACAATCAATGGTCGAGAGGGGTTTTGCGGTCGTCGCCCCAAAACGGGTCGACGTGGGATTACCGCAACGCCACTTTGCTCTTCTCTCTACACCCCCAACTCTGAGTTTCTTGCTTCCAATTTGTCAATAGCCCGTCAGTAAATGGCCCTTTTAAAGTATTTTGAGTTTTTGATTTAGTCGAAAAAATCATACGGGGCGGGCTGTTTTTGGAATTTTTTCCAGACTTTTCAAAAGTATTCGAAATAAATTTCAGATCAAAACGAATTTTGCAAAGTATCGTTGAAAAATTAGTTTTTCGAAAATAAAAATCAATTTTTGTTTTGAAAAATCCAAAAAAAGAAAATATCCGGAATGACAAAAATGTATCAAATTGAAAAGTGAAATGCTCAACTTAACGAAATTGGGAATACAATCAAACATCAATTTTTGAAACTTGGAATAATCCGGAAATTAGTGTAAAAAAATCTTGGACCACAGGTCCACTAGTTGAGAGGTATTATCTTGGTAGTCTTGTTTGAAAAAATTGATTTTCTAATTTAGGAACGTGTGGAAAGGAGTTTTTGGTATATCGCAATCTCTGGATTGTCCAAAATTTCAAAAATCGGAATTTCGGGATTTTGAATTTTCAGTATTATCTTCATAAATGATTGTTTTCTAAACCCTAAAGTTTGATGATAATAATAAATTTGAACTATTTGATAAAGTTTGTAGGTCTCCAAATTTTCAAAGGTCGGCCATTATTTTATACCGATAACGTTTCATATTTTTGATATTTTTGTTCCGCACATTCCTGGTTCTCATAATTAAACTCTGCAAGTTTGACTACTCGTGATAATTTACTCTCTAAAATCATTATCGATTTACAAAATCATCAGATTTGTATAAAACTTATCAAGTCAAGCGACACACTAACTATCAGCTCAAAATATCAATTCTTAGGCACTAGTCAGTTTTTTACAGTTTCTTAATTAATCTGAATGATACCTCATTGCCACATGACGTCCATGTCTCGTGGTTGCTGTTGACTTTTTTCGAGTTGCTGGTGTAGCTCTATTAGTAGAAGTAGTTGATGACTTTGGCGATTTTCTGACACCAGCAGCGGGTGATTTTTTACGGAACGCTGTTCCAGGTACTTTTTTAGGAGTAGAAGAAATATTGGCCGGAGATTTTTTGCGTGGACCGCTTCCTGATGAATGTTTAGGAGTAGGTGGCGACTTCTTACGACTCGCCGCTGGTGATTTTTTGCGGGTGTTTGGACTTTGCGATGAAGTTTTTTTGCGGGTGGAAACGGAAGGTTTTGAGGTGGGAGGCTGCATGGTGTAGAAGTTAGATGATAAGGTTTAAAAATATCTAATATCACAGGTGTGTTGCTTCATCTCGCTTCGGTTAAAGTTTCTGCTTGATTAGAACTGACAAACAACTTTTTTCTTAATCTGCGGGAAGGTTCGTCAAGCATAACATTCGCCTAGTTGTTCGAATTTCTTCATTATATCTTTTTCAAGAAAAATGAGAACAAAAATGAGAAAGGCTAGTACGGGTGGGTCTGAATGCGTCAGTTTTTTTTCAAAAAGATTAGAACCCACCCGCACTTTTTTTCAATCTCATGTATTTCTTCATCCGCGAAGGAAGGATTGGAACGTACTAGCAATTTCAGTAATCCCCATTTCAGAGAATATATTCATGATGAGAACAAACGATTTGGGGAAGAGAAGAAGGGGGAATATGGAAGAAGATATTGCGGAATATCTCTAATTTATAAAAAGTGGAACGAAAGAATATGGGCAATGAAATTACGTATATAATTCAGCAAAGAAAAAAATTGGGACCTCAGGGTAAGTTTAGGATGGAGTCCATCCTCATATCTCACTCATTTCGATTCTCATTTTTATCTCAATGTCAAGAAAGGCTCCTCAAAACCAATAATCCGTGGAAACTCTTCTCCCCTCTTCTTCCGTCCATCTTTTAATATCTTTCTTGTATGTCAACTGAGGAGATGAGCCGAAGAATTGCGCAGGTTTAAATATCTATTTTCTCTAAAAATTAATATAGGCGAAAAAGATTTTGAAGAACATTGAACTCCCTCTAGATAAACTTGAGGACTCAAAAAGAACTAACCGTCTACGATGAGGACTGGAGAACTTTCGCTCGTCGTCGATGCAGCTGGAATAGCTGGTTGATGGAGAGCGACTGTTAGTGTGCTCTCCGCGATCGCTGCTCGACGCCGCCTCCGGCGCTGATAATAGTGTGTCGGCTGTTGTTCGACCGAGTAGTGACGCCCGACGGGCAGCCTGGAAAAATTTATTGAAATTGGTGATGGTAAAGAAATAGAGATGCGATAGCTAGATTGAGCCAGTGATCCGTTGGAAATTAGGGAAGTGGTGGGGTTTGATTTTTAAGGATTTTCCAGGGACAATCTTTCGGTAGTCACACTCCTAACTCCATTTTGATAAATTTCGAAAGTTCACCTAGCTCGTAATTCATTCATATTTCTGAATGAGTTTTGAAAGAATACTATAGAAAGTTTATAATGTTTAAAGTTAACAAGATGAGCTGAAAACTAACTAGGGAAGGTTGTAACATGTAAGTATGGAACTTTCAGATGAAACCTATATCATTCGAAAGCTAATAACATACTTCATCAATGATCTATTTTGTTTTTGCTAAAAATCAAATTTCAGAACCAAGGTTTCAAATTAGGTTAAAATCTGTGGTATAAAGACTCTTGGTTCCTGTGAAAGATATAAATCAAAAAATAAACAATCGCGATATTTTTAACATTATGATCGATATTATATTAGTGAAACATGTTTTGTTAATTCTCACATGAACCGAGATAAATTTGACTGAAATTGACGGTGAAGAGGCGCTTCTAGTATTGGTCTTAGGATGAACAAATCAGATGTCCCGAATTTTCTTTGACCACTTAAATCGACAGTTTTGACCATTTTGGGTAGGCTAGAGCTTGGCTGTGATGTTTTCGATTTGTCTGAACATTTTTGGTAATGTTAAACAGACCTAAATTGGAAACTTTGAATTCACTGAATTTTTTGAAAATTCCTAGTTTTTTTCACTTGTTTACCGATTTCTGTAGAAGACTTCTATACCTGTTTCTGTACTGAAAACGTAGAAAAACATATGTCTTTAAGAAATCGGCAAACAACTGTGAAACTAGGAAGCAAAAGAATTCTGGGAATGCAAAGTTTGCAGTCTAGGTCTGTTTTATACCATTCAAAATTTTCAAAATGATTTAAAACTTGACAGCCAAGCTCCAGAGCCCCGAAAATGATCAAATTGGCCAAAAACCAATTGAAAAATACAATTTTGTACATTTTATTCACCGGTATTGTGTGCGGGAACTCAAATTAGTGAATCTAATCTCAAATTTCAAGTTTAATAGAGAATTAAAGTTTTTTTAAAATGTGTATACTACAGTAGTCTCGAAGAGATTAAGTAGGCCATGATCTAGAAAATTCTTCTAGGATGGTTTGCGGTCACTTGACTGACTACGCAAAAATCACCTCACATGTAGGCTTAGTTTATATACAGCGCAACAGGAAAAAATAGGGGAAGAGGAAAAAAAAGAAGAAATTGGTGGACTTAATGAATATAAATTCATAAGTGATGCGGGGCAAAAGTAGGTAGGCGGTGTTTCTACGCCGTTTTGTGTCGGGAAGCGCACACGCCTTTTCCGCTCTACGAGTTTTGAACAATGGTTAAGAGATTTCGGTTGTGGTCCCATCGAAATAAAGAGAATGAAAGAGCACGAAGTGCTTGCAAATATCGGCAGCACCACCCCGACACAAAACTTTTTTTTCTGGCTGCTCCTGCCAATTCCCAATGTCCCCGCCATAAGGGTCCGTTTTCGTTTACCAAGTTGATGTGCATTCTTGAAGTTTGAATGCACCTTTCACGTATTTGTCCCGGCTCTAACGTATTCGGTTTCAGCCGACATTAGGTACTTTTTCAAATGAGAAGAAGAAAAGCGAAAAGGTTAAATGACGAAAAAAAAAATTTCTAGGGCACAAATGCAAATCTTCTGAATAGTGTGGTGAACGAAAAAGAATAAGAAAATGAAAACTAGTGAAAAAGCATCATGTTACGTCGGAAAGAAAGAGGACCAAATCTGAAATGGAGTGGGGCTGAGGGTGAGAACGACGGTGGTCCGGCGGCGCGCGATGCTGTTTCAAAATTTTTTTGTTTGTTTTCATCATCATTTTCATCCGAACCGAGTAAGGTGGGAATTTTGTAATCTAAGAGAAGAAGAAGTGTCTAGAATGAGGAGCCCCCAATTCGCATGCGTAATACTGGATTAGATGCGACGACGAGGTTCGTTTTTTGAAAACTCCGAAGGAACCCTTCTAATAACAAGTATCGTTTTTCAAGGATGTGTACTGCTTCAGTTAAGCTGAAAGAAGAAAAAGAAAGTTGTATCTATCTTTTCATTCGATTAATGATTCAGTTTCATACTCAATAGAATGCCTTTTTTCTCATTTTTAAACGATGAAGCGGAAAAAAAATAATTTTTGTCAAAGTAGGAAAAACGCGTCGCGAGGAAAAAAACACAATTTTCTTGTCTATTGTTTATCCGGCTTCTAATCAACAAATTACTTTCCAAACTGGCTCTATCTAGTCACCTTGAAAACCAATTTACACCTGCTGAAAACCGATCACCTGCGACACCCCGCAGTAAATACCTCTAGCCTCTCTTTCCGTTGTCTAATCAAAATTGCACGTTGACTCCGCGTATCAGGAGACGCCAGGATTTGCATCATTTTTGAGTAGGGAATTTAGGAAATGAACGAACACTGGGTTCCGAAAGAACCCGGGGATTGTCAAGAGAGATCATTTAACTACAGAATAAAGGGGTGTTAATGGGCCGTGCGGCGTCTGACGTCTGCGCGGCGGCGGCGTTTTTCAGGGTTCATTTACGGTTTTATGAAATTGAAAACAGCCCCAATAAAAAAGGATTTGATTTTTGAAATTCTGACAAAAAAATCTCTAATTGCTATTTTTTTACCAATTAGTGACATGAGGGATATTCGAGGAAGATCAGTAAAGTTAGAGTATCAAATGGCTAGACACTGAGAATGAGATGACTGAAAAGGAAACCTTGCAAACTCAGATTTCGATGGAATTTCTAGAATAGCTTGAGAAAGTTTCAAAATTGGCGGGCTAGTCAGTACCAAAAATTTCAGTACCAAAAATTGCGTATTCAAGGCGATTTTCTCATTTTCTAGGACGTTTCAGAACATGACAATTTTTGTGATAGACTTGGAATTAAATGAAATTTCATATTTCAGACATTTTCTTATTTTTAAAGATGAACCTCCAAGATCACGTGGAAAAATTCAAAATTTTGAAAAATTACTTTTTGATAAAATGTTTGAAATTCGAAATATCATTAAATTTTAAGTTCTGAAACCTCCTGGGGCCGGAGAAAATCGACTTCGAAAACTGCTGTTTCCGGTGGAAACGATTTATGGTACAGAAATTGATATAACTCGGCTAAAACTGGGGAGCGGAATCTGAAATTTTCAGAAGTGTCTAGATATACAATTCTTAACATATCCCAAAAGTTACATCTTCCTGTGAAACTAATGCCGCAAAAAAAACCTAGAAATTGTTAAACAAAATGAGACCAATTTTTTCCAGTTTGCATATAAAACACATTTCAAATGAACATTTTATATTATAAGTTCTCATTCAATTTTTTTCTCTCTGGACCTCAATTTAATAATCCCCTATTTCAACTTTGCAAGCGGAACAGAAATAGAAAAATTGACGAGGAATGCCAAAATATATGCGTGTTATTTCGAGCGGAAGTCCTCCGAATTGAATCCATTCACATTTTGATTTGGGTGATATAGGAATTTCGAACTTTCTTGTATAATTTTTGAAATGATCCTAACCTTACGGAGAGCAGATTTTCTCATGGATTTTAGCAGAAATTCTAGTAGTGTAGAATATTATGAAAATATAATGGGGGACCCTCATCTTTATAACAAAATATTACTATTTTCCTATTGCTACATTAAAATAAATAAGGCAAAAAGAAGAAAAAATAGCGTGAAATCTCGCCGTTTCTGCTCAACGATTACAGAAGAAGTGCTCTCCTTCTAATTTGACCAATTAGAGGAGGCCCTCCCCGTATGTCCTGTGGCCCTTTGAATATATTCAAAAATTCAGTTGACAAGGGGGCAGAGCAATTAACCGGCTCGAAAAAGAGCAGCGTCACACATAAATTCATGATATTGACAAAGAGAGGTGGCTTTTCAGATGCCAGGAGAAGATATGAAGATGAGAAGCAGCAGAAAAAATGGCGACGTTGAATGGAATTCATAACGAAGGGGAGCTTAATCAATTTGAAAAATTAAAAATAGCTGAATGTGTGTCCCCTCACACATTCTCTCCGCCTATTGTATTGTTATTCATGAAATCCAGAGTTTTTACTCTTCGAGGTTTGCTCTCAATTTCCGATAAAAGAGTAAAGAATAGAGAACGAAGAAAGGAGAAAAAAAACCTAATCCGGTTTTTCTCTATAATCAAAATGATTCAATCAGATTAGCGGGGCTCGACAACGCCACTCCAAGGGTCACCCTTTACACGAGTTCAGTTTTAGCTATAGGACAAAAACAAAGACAAGGAGTTGAGTCCGGAGCACAACAAAAAGTACAAAAGGGGGGCAAAATCTTCAAGTTGCTGATTTTCGGTGGTCATACTCGTCTACTTTCCATGGTCTGCATAAATAAAATACGTTTTTGTGGAAGGTCCACAGGAAAAATTGAGGAAGTTTAATAAAACACGAATAGAAGACGAGTGGTGGGTCCCGCGACACACACGGGAGAAAAAAGGGACAAGAGGGGTTACGCTCTTCTGGTGACATAACAAATATGAGCGGTCCCAAGGAGTAATGCAACTTTTTTTTTGCCTTTTACTCTTTTTTCCACACAAATTTAGACGATTTTCTTGTTATCTTTCCTATTTTTCCATTTCTATTTTCTCCTTTCTCTAAAGTCACCTAAAAATGGTCCATTGAACCTCTCAGATTTCCGCTTGAGTAATAGAGTAAAAGTTCTCGGCGTAGTGTGATAAATTATTGATGAAAGACGTCTGTGTAAAGTGGCGGGGGCTATCCTGTTACTCGACAAAAAAGCAAAAAAAGAGCATAATCTTTTTTGGTCGTGAACTTTTGCCGGCGTTAGAATTATCTAGGTATTAGGTAGTCAAACAATACGGATTCAAAAGAACAACGTCATTTTCTTGAGAGTCGTTTCAGGAGGGAGACGTGAAAAAGTATATTTTCCCAAATTTCGTTCATACATATAAGCCCCTCGAAGATTCTAACTTGTGGACTGTTGAAGGTTGCGCGTTGATAAATATAGTGCGAAAGTTATTGCCACCTTTTAAGAATAATAAATATCAGAAAAATAGTGAAGGACAGTTTGTAAACAATTATATTCTTTACTGAAACGTCCGGGACCCTAAAATCTGAATAAGGTTATCATCATCAGATGAAATTCATTTCAACTAGGTTTCTATCAAAAATACCAAAATTCGTGAACTGACAAAGAATTCCTGATGATAAATATTTGGAATCTATGATTAATATTTCGAATGTAGTGGTTTTGGGAACCGAGATACACTGACAAGGAAACCTCAACACCTCACAAACCCAGATTTTGACGAAAATTTCAGGATTGGTTGAAAATCGCCTATCCAGGCATCTCTGAAAAATTTAGTGTCCGCCCGTCAGTTTCAGCCGAGTTATATCAGTTACAGTACCAAAAATCGCCTTTTCAATGCAAAATATATTTCATACTTTTGCTCATTTTTTTCAGTTTTCGAAGAAATCTGGAAAATCGTGAAAAAAATGCAAAAATAAAAAATATTTTTGTTCTTTAGAAAAAGTAAAAAATATCAAATTTCATTAAAATTTAAGTATAACCCAACAAGTTTCATGCTTTGAAACGTCCTACGACTTGAGAAAATCGTCTTTGAAAATCGCTTTTTTGCACTCAAAAGGCGATTTTTGGCACTGAAACTGATATAACTCGGCTGAAACTGGCGGGCTAATACAAAAATTTTTAGAGATTTCTAGATAGGCGATTTTCAACATGTCCTGAAATTTTCATCAAAATCTATGTTTGTGAGGTGTTGAGGTTCCCTTGTGAAGTTGATGGCCGTTCTATTGAAGGATTAGCAACATTTGAACATTAAGCATGAATTGAGAATGATTGCGAGATTTAGGAAAAATTGGTGCTTCCCAAAAATTCAAAAGGCAAGTTATGTTACTAAAGTATTTGAACTGTACATCAAAATATGCAGTACGGGTCCATGAGATATACAAAAACGTAACATGACAATATTTGAACTATGGTCAAAAAATTGAATGAATTTCTAGAATCTGAAATCGTCAGCTTTTTTCGTTTTTTTTAAACATTCATTTCAAGCTATAAAAAATTAATGAATTTCACTAATTATGGCAAAAACTATCAAAACCAAGCCAACATGTACATCCCAATAGGTTCTAAGACAACCGAATAGGGTCTAAGATAATGGTTTAGTTACTGCTGTGAAAAATGTTCATGTCATCTATAAAACGATTTTGTCGAAAAAACTGACAGATTTATTACTTGGCACAAAGACTTATGCTGTCCCCTTACACTGTCACTAACGACGATTTATGGGAAATGCCTAAAGGGCACACAAAATGAACAGCAATCTATCCCTGGGATCTCAGAAGGTACAAGCTAGGGAAAATAGCTAAAAAGTCTTTACCTGTCTTATGAAATTCAACATTGTCAGTCATGTTTCGACATGGGAAGAATGAGCGGAAGGTTTTTGGATGGAGAATGCACCCATCAGATTTTGAAAGTCAGAAGCAGACAGAGGCTGCTCCCAGCCCTTTATTGTTCACCCAAAACCTTCAACATTCTCACCTTCCGGTAGCCTAATCGTTCTTGCTTTCATAGTTTCATTTTAGCGCTGTCTACTTTTTTTCGAAACGCTGATGACGCCAACTTGAAAAAAGACATGGACGGAGGTAGTGGAAAAAGTGAAAAAAAAAACTCAAAATTTAGGATATGTAATGGCACAACAAGTTGGCGTTTGTACTCTTTTGTCGGTGCTTGAAAACGGAGGACCTCCCTTTCCTTCCGTTTTCGGAACGAAGGAAGCGAAAAAACTGGGCGCCGTACACGTTTTGATAACCAGCGTTTTCTGGGTGGTGGTGTCAAACGGGGCGGCATAGAAGAGCACCACCACAGACCGAAAAAAGGAAAAGAAAACAAAAAAGATTTGAAAACGCGGAAAAGGCAATAATAAATACTTTTGCGGAAGGGTGAACACGTAATGTTTCTCATGGGATACTCGCTCTGTGCGGCTCCCGGTCATCCACAAATTATTTGTGGTGACATTCCCCAAACACCTGATAGAAAATTTTTTTCAGGGAACCTACCTCAATAACAGCCGTTGGGAAATCGATGGACGGACGAGGAGTTGCATCTTCATAGCCAGAATAACCTGTAAAAAGAAAATGAAATTTTAAACTTATTGGATAGAATCTTGTACAGATGATGGTCTTTCCTCAGAATCAGTAACACGGAATTTATTTTTAGGATAATCTCAAAAACTTTATTTTCTGGGCCAGTAGCAATAGGAGTCGTACAAGTTATTTTCTGAAGTTTAAACAGGTAAGTTTGAAAAAAAAACCACGCATTATAATTTTCGAAATATTTAGAAAATTTTCAGAAAAATACAAAACATCACGATA